CAACAATATATATATATATGAAAAAAACAAAATCCTGTGCCCTACACTGTACACTCACAGGGTGCACTAGCAAACGCAGGGGCGTGAGGGTGGGGGAGTGGTTGTCTTTCCACGAAGACAGATGTGCTTGGCCCAGAGCCCACATTAGCAACTGCGAATGACAGCCGTATTGATTGCCGGCTGCGTGGTTTCTGAGAGCCGAGATGGCACCCGAGGTATGCGTTCCTCCAATTGTCTGCAGGTGTGCTGTGCTTAACGCATTAAAGATGCATTTCAGAGTCATTTCGAAAAGATTACCTCATTGATGTGGGCGAAAGGTTGCCAGGAAGTGCGGGCTGCGGGGGCCGAGCCCACCCGACGCGCAGGCCTCAGGTGTGGCCTGTGCAGTCCCCCGAGGCGGCCCAGCTGGAATTTGGTAAGAACATCTCTTAGCGCATCTGTGACCCCCTATGTGCTGGCCCCAGGTCAGCTCCAATCCCCCTTTTAAAGATGATTTTTGCCATATTTACACGAGGAAAGATGCCACAGTTGCAGTCCATCAATCTGTGTGAAACGCACAGGTATTCTCTTCTCCTCGCTGTGCTTTTCACACGAAGGAGAATATTCCAAGTACTTACGTCTGAACTAGGTTTTGGTGTTTCTCGGGGATACATACGCGGGTGCCCGGGGAATGCCCCTTCCTTCCAACTTAACTCTTAGGAGGCTCCAGGAGCGTGGACAGGTAGCTCAGGAAAGAGCAATTACTCTAAGAGACCACCAAGTCCTCTCTGTGGACATCAGCTCCCACACGTACAGGTTGCAGCTCAGAGCTGTCCTATGAGTATAAACGTCTTCATGGTTCATAATTAGGAATAAAGCAAGTTCTTTCAGGATTGAAGCCTTCACATTGTGATCATCGCTCAGGCCAGTGGGACCTGCTTTGCATAGATGCCTGCAAGCCTCGGGCCTCGGGCCTCGGGAGTTGCTCTGTGGTACGTCTACTGTGGAATACGACGCTGCTGTAAAAAAGAAAGATCTCTGACCATTGCAACAGCACGGAGGGACCTGGAGAGCATCGTGCTGAGAGAAATAAGCCAGCCGGAGAAAGGCAAGTATCACATGATCTCACTCATATGTGGAATCTAATGAACAAAATAAACTGATGAACAAAATAGATCCAGAGGCCTAGAAGCATCGAACAGACTGTTGACCCCCAGAGGGAAGGCAGGGAGGGTGGGTGGGAAGAGATCAACCCATGAACTTGTGTGCGTATATGCATCACCCACGGACACAGACACGGGTGGTGAGGGCCTGAGGGGGGAGCGGGCTGGAGAGGTTAACGGGGTAAAAGGAGGACGAATGCAATACTTTCAACAATAAAGATTTAAAACAAAAGCTCTCTTCCTCGGCACTGCCTACGGAGGTGGCAGCCATCTACTCGGCACCATGGCTGCCCTCAGACCCCTCGTGAAACCCACGATTGTCAAAAAGAGGACCCAGTCAGACCGATGTGTCAAGATGAAGCAGAACTGGCGGAAACCAGAGGCACTGACAATAGGGGGCCAGATCCTGATGCCCAACGTGGGTTATGGAGCAACAAGAAAACAGCACAGGCTGCCCAGTGGCTCCCGGAGGCTCCTGGTCCCTAATGTCAAGGAGCTTGAAGCGCCGCTGACGTGCAGTCGCACTGTGCTGAGTGCTCACAGCGTCTCCCAAAGACCCGCAAAGCCCCTGGGGGAGGAGCAGCCAGCTGCCATCAGGCCACCAATCCCGACGCCAGGCTGCGCAGCGAGAGAGTGAATGGGCAGACTGTGTGCACATTGTATTCGTGTTAATAAAACCATACAATTCTGAAAAAAAAAAAAAGAAGTTGCCCTGACTTTCTGAGCAGTGGTTTCTCAATTGTGACGTTAACTGCAAAGCCAGGCATTGAACCCGCTGCCCTTTGTTGTCTCGGCCAGGGGGCTGGGGTGCTCTACACACGGACCCGCGTTCTCCCCGGACAGACAGAGGGAGGCTCTGCCAGCGCCCCCTCCCCCGTCCC